CTGTCCTAAACAAGTCCAATTGGGCTGGAACCCACCAAATCTGGCAACGCTGTCAGCAAAGCAAATGCAGTCCACTAGACTGGACAGAACAAACTGATCTCAGAAATAATAATGAAAAGCATGCGACCGAATATTACTGTATTACAACCGACTGCCTGCTCCTCACCCAATTCAAATGAACTGCCAGGATTGTTTAGAGGTCTACTTAACATTGCCTGACTAAAAAAGAAAAAAATTAATTGCTTTATTGTATTTCAGTCATTAATATGCTACTAAACTATTTTTTCATTCATTTATTCATTTTACTTTGGCTTAGTCCCTTATTCATCAGGTGTTGCCACAGCAGAATGAACCGCCAACTATTCCAATATACGTTTTACGCCACAGGTGTCAAACTCAGTTCCAAGAGGGCCGCAGCTCTGCACAGTTTAGTTCCAACCCTAATTAAACACACCTGATCAAACTAATTGAGTCCTTCAGGCTTGTTTGAAACCTACAGGTAAGTGTGTTGGAGCAGGGTTGGAACTAAACTGTGCAGGGCTTCGGCCCTCCAGGAATTGAGTTTGACACCTCTGTTTTACGCAGCGGATGCCCTTTGAGCCGCAACCCATCACTGGGGAAAAACCCAGTTTAGTTCACACAATTCACCTATAGCGCATGTCTTTGGACTGTGGGGAAACCGGAGCACCCGGAGGAAACCCACGCCAACATGGGGAGAACATGCAAACTCCACACAGAAATGCCAATTGGCCCAACCAGGACTCAAACCAGCAACCTTCTTACTGTCAGGTGATGGTGCTAGCCACCATGCCACCTGAACTATTTTTTAAAACCCTAAATGACCTCAGTCATATGGCTTTCAATGACGTCTTGCTCAATCATTATTTTGTTTTGCCATGCAGTGTAGATTAATAATTAGCAGGAGAACGTTTCATGAGAAGAAACACTTGTGCCAACAGAAACTGGCGTCAACATAAAATGTGGCATCAGACAATAATGTTTTTTAGGGCACTTTTGAGGACGTTACTCTCTAAATCAATAGAAATGCAGTATGAAATGAGTGCTATTTCTAAGCACTATAAATCCCATTAAGTAGGTCTTCGTTTGTGTAAATGATCCATTTTGGATGCACTTAATGGAAGGGTTATAAAACCTCTGGAGTGTCTGAAATAACTTGATAATCTACTGTGCCACAATCCCCCTGTGATGGACTGGCCTTATAATCAGTTCAGGATGGTTCTTCTTGCCTTCAGTTGAGACTCTACAAGCCTATAAACGATGTGGTGAATGGAGCAATTGCTTGTTTGTTTGTTTTTATTTGACAATTTTAACAAAAATATACAAGTCTAATTAATAGATAATTTAAGTGAAGTTTATTTATAAACTAATTTGGAGAGAATCACGTGCTTATGATTGCTTGCGGCTGGTCCCACATTATTCAATTTATGGTTTACCAATCAGACGATTCTTAAGCCACTATAAATACCCTTAAGTTCCATATAGCAGCCCTCTTCATTTTGAAGAATCCCTCCTTCCACCCCTACTCCTTCTCCTTTCCTAGATGGGTGGCACGGTGGCCTAGTGGTTAGCACTGTTGCTTCACAGCAAGAACGTCACTTGTTTTAGTCCTTACAAGCCAGCCGACATTTCTGTGCAGAGTTTACATGTTCTCCCAGTGCTCATGTGGGTTTCCCCCAGTTTCCTCCCACCATCCAAGTTCGATCCAAATTGGCACAACAGACATACTCCTAGTAAGTAGTTATCTCTTAAAAGCAATCATTATCTGTTCATTAGCTACTACAGCAGAGGAGTTCTCGAGATGCACCTGAACTAAGACTCCCCTCTCGCCATGCAATCAGGAGGGAGCCCCAGGCTCGAGGATCTTATGAGCTCAGGGCTCTCTCCCAGGACAGCATGCCAAACAAGATTTATAATCAATCATCAGATAAGTGTGAACTCTTGAATAACTATCGAAGATGAAATACACAAAAATTATTTCCATTGTGGTCCTCGATATTCTTAAAGAAATAAATGAGCAAATCATAAAAGGAGTGCAAACATCATCATCTCAGCAACTCACCACAACAAGATCCTCAACTTCAACCATAGACTGATTTCACACGGCCGCCAATTTAAAAGGGAATTCAAGGCTGCAGTGGTGAAGAAACCTGGAAGTATCACCTGGAGTCACACAGGAACATTGTGTACCTGGCTGTAAATCTTATCAAAGAAGAGAAAGTGACACAAATTTATAATTATATAAATACTCTACTTCTCTTTATTGACTGATTTAGATGTGTTGAACAGTAATTAAACAAGTACATTACAAGTAACTGGAGTATGGTGGTGCAGTGGGTAGGATAATGGCCTCGGCCCTCAGCTTGGTCATTTAGCATTTCTGTGTGGAGTTTGCATGCTCTCTCCGTGTTCGTTTGGGTTTTCTCCGTGTGCTCCGGCTTCCCCCACAAGTCCAAAAACATGTGGTATAGCTGAATTGGGTAGGCTAAATTGTCTGTAGTGTATGTGTGTGAATGGGAGTGTATGGGTGTTTCCCAGTGATGGGTTACAGCTGGAAGGGCCTCTGCTGCCTAAAACATATGCTGGATAAGTTGGTGGTTCATTCCACTGTGGCGACCCCAGATTAGTAAAGGGACTAAGCCAAAAAGAAAATGAATTAATGAATTACAAGTAACTAATTAATTTGTGGAAAACTGTGGAAAAGTAATCTAATTACAGTAACTAATTACCCCCTACACTGGTTGTAAGCTATTACTATACTGACAAAAGTGTTGGTACCCTTTCATTTAAAAGAGATAAGTTCACACTGGTCGCTGAAATAACTTGAAGCTGGAAAAAGTAATGATTAAACAAAAATGACAGAAAATAAACTAGTGAAAATCTTATATTGATTTTGAATAATGGTTTAATGCCTCTAATGTCCCTAAAGGATGTATGTGAAGTTTCAGCTCAAAATATCCCATAAACAATGTTTAATAACTCTTTGAAACTGCCACTTACAGGCTTTGATCCAAATTGTGCCGTTTTGGTGACTGTCGCTTTAAATTCAAATGAGATTGACCTCTTTTTAAAAGAGGGCGGGGCTACAAATGCCTGTGCGTCAGCATAGTGGCAGTTACAAAACCGAGACTACCACTCATAGGCAGGACTTTTCCCTTCTGATGACACGTACAAAGGGAGAATGTCAATCAAAGTGTTTCTGCAGACTTTTTTTATGAAGTGTGACTGTAAAAAATAAAATTAATACACTTTTTAGCATTAGAACCTGCTTATATTCACACATTGTTGCCACACAACTGTAGGTAATAAAGCTAATACAAAATTGCGTATTTAGGGGCTTTTTTTTGTCTTCAAAATAAACTGTGAAAGACAATGGCTGCGTCCAAAACCGCCTACTACTCAGTAGGTACTGCATTTGAATTTAAACGTACTACTCGGCCGTTAGAAAAGTACGTTCTATACAGTATGAATGTGAAAAGTATGAATGGAATTCGGACGTACTACATCCACCATTTTGTTATGGTCACGTGACCTACCTGCGTCAGTTGCGTTGCCTCACTTCCATTCATGAATTCTCTCACGGGGCATTATGGGATAGCGCAGCGTGCATGGGATGCGCACTTCAGAATCTCGCCGAAAGTAGTAAGTCATCCGGGAACTTCTCGCCTACTGATTTTCGAATTCTATGAAATCGGACATACTACTCAGTTCACATACTGGTTTTAGCGTAGTATATATTATGGAAGTATGCGGATTCGGACGCAGCCAATGAGGTATGCTATTATTCTTCTCTCATTAATTTTTAAAAAATGTTTAGGACACACCAATAGTAGATTCATTTGTTACATTTGATTTGTTTGTTACAGTACTATTTCAGTGAATTTCTCATTCAATTTTTAAAAACAGTAATATGATGGAAATACCTAAAATTCTGTTTTAGACATGCCATGTCCATGGTTTCCGCTACATTTATTCTTCCATGGCGGGGCGCCACGCCAAAATTGATTCCGCCACGGCTACATTACAGCTTTTCATTCAAAACATTCAGTCCTGTTATATGTTTAATAGCCGGTGATAATCGCACCAAAACATATTAGAAGACAAGTGAATTATAACAGCGCAAACGTTTCTAAAACCGTAGTAGAGCTGTGCGTTATTTGTTTAACCCTTTAAGGTTACGTGCTGACTGACTGACTGACTGACTGACTAACAGGTGCGTGATGCGTGAGGCCAGCAAACACGACGTATAGCCATTTCACTTTACTTCAGGACGCAGTAATACCACTCTGTAGGTCTATTGAAGACGTTCATAAATATTCCTAGCAAATCTAATAAATAAAATTTAATAAACACACTAAATCACACTTCAGCAGCGTTTACTTGAGAGCGCACAAGAAGATCTGCGCTTGAGCAGCGTATATTTGACAGGGCATGCAAGAAGTTTTGTGCACGAAAAGAGGAAATCGGCGCGCAGGCAAAGAGATCAGCATGCTGTAGGCCACAAGTGTCAAACTCAGTTCCAAAAGGGCCGCAGCTCTGCACAGTTTAGTTACAACCCTAATTAAACACACCTGATCAAACTAATTGAGTCCTTCAGACTTGTTTGAAACCTACCGGTAAGTGTGTTGGAGCAGGGTTGGAACTAAACTGTGCAGGGCTTCGGCCCTCCAGGAATTCAGTTTGACACCCCTGCTGTAGGCTATTACATAATTGCGATCTCGACTAGTAATTCTGCGCTCACGACATTTGTCATTGAAATAACACCACAGGTAGTTGGTAGATTTGTGTAAAAAAGGCCTGCCGCCACAGCTGAAAAAAAATCCTAGAGGAAACACTGATGTCGGTTTTGAAAGTAGCATCTTGAGCTAAAAAACAAAATGGTGGAAAGTGACAGCTCTGTCAAACCTAACATCCATACAAAATACGACAAATTAATTCATTAGACTGGAAGTCAAGCTAACAAAAGTACCTACAAAAAGCAATTACTGCCCAAGATAACTGATTTATTGATTTTTCAGAATCCATAAGGGCTACTGATGCACTGAAGATCTGAACAATTTCCTTTAACTTAATGCGATAAACATGTTGCACAATGTAACATTCTGTAAATTACACTTCTCTCCCTTTTTGGAACACAACTCTTGACTTTTTCTACCCAATCAGTCTAACGTACTGCTATGCAATACAATACAACTTTCCTCTAGTAATCAGATTTTATAAGTGCACTTACAGCAATGGTGTTCTGTTGAATTTTAATAAGTGTCTTCTTCAAAAAAAGCTGCCTTACATGGATAAGAATTAGAAAAAAAGGGAACACACAAGAGTCTCACTTTAACAGCCGTGCAGTAGAGCCTTCGAAACAGTCCTGAAGATATCAGAACATCTTCAGCGTTTCTCGCATGCCTCCACATTTCATGAATGTCACTAACATGTCCATGCGAAGTCATCATCTGGCTGTAGATGCAATGGTGATGAGGAGCTTTTCCCTCTCCGGAGAAGAACGCGTGATCCGTGGGAGAAACGTCCATCATTTTAGCGCAGATCCCGAGGAAGACGTCATCGATGTGAAAGGACGCGTTTATGGTGAGCGAAGCTTGATAGATTCTGGACACCACATCTCTGGAGAGGACATACCCAGATCCAGGGGTGTAGTCTGGGTAGGACAACCATGGGTACAAGTCTCGGGACACATAGTACTTGCTCTCTTTGTCTCGATTCGGAGGTGAACCGCGGTGCACCCTTCCAATCCAAAGGTCTCTGGTGTTACTTTGGCCAAACCCTTGCAAGTAAAGAATTAGGTTGGGAGTGTGGACAAAGACATCATCGTCTGCAGACATGAGGAACTGCGCATGATGGCAGTATGTTTCTTTCCAACCAAGTTGCAGCAGAAGCTTTAGAGTAAGATTGTGAAAGGTGTCCATGAAGTCCTGCTGGATGAGATCATGATACTTTTGGTCCTCAAACATAAGATCCTCCTTAAGTTTTCCCCTCTCTTCTGGTATAGGATGGAGGCCAAGAGCAAACAAGACCTTTACATTAACACCCAGAGTATTTTCAATGAACGTCTCGTTTCCCCAAGTAGAGCGAATTGCCTGTCTTCTCTCAAAGTTCTCTGATGAGCTTTTCACAAAGAGAAGGAGCAAAATGTCTTTGTTGTCGCACGTTGTTTGATGGTTTATGAGGTACCTGTGGTTGTACTTGATGGCATCCTCAGGGTTGACTATAAAGCTTGAGTTAATGAATTTGAAGCTATTGATAAGGTATCGGTACGAGAAAGACATTACATGAGTTACAACACAGTTGTCAATCTTTTCCCAGTATGTCATGAGCAGTAAGGTACTAAAGCAGGTTATCATTAGCCGTAGGTGATATTTCTTAAATCTAGGCATTTTGAGAACTGCCATGACTTCTCTGAACATTGGCTCCAGGTCCAGAAGCAATTCCAGGCTATGTTTCATCCACAACCATGGTGGCCTTCAAAACTTGGTGCAGTACTCTGTGTGTTCAGCAGCCATTGATGGTAAAATCTTCAACATGACAATAGACAATTGTGGCGCTCCTGGAGTGATCGTGCAAGTCTGTAAGAGAAACAGACATGACAGCTTAAGTGGACTTGTCCATGTCACGAGAAAGCAAGGTAAGATGAGATTATCACTGTGTCCAAAACTACAAAGTAGAATTTAAAAAAAAAAATTGCATGTAAACTGAGAGGCATTCCTAAATTTGTAGTATTCGAAAAACAGTAAACGAAAATAGTTTCACAATATAGTACACATTTATCGTTATTGTGCTAATAGTTTATGCAATTTACATAGTACAGGCATGCGTGTTAAATTACATTGATTTTATGCATTGGTTATTTATCAAAATTTGGCCAATCAGATGGGGTCTTACTATCTTTATTCCCACCTCCCCGATAGTTGATGTTCTGCTATTGGCTGGAGCAGCCAAAAGGTGTTTGAAATCACATACTATATAGTATGCTAAAAACAGCATGCAAGCTGAGTAGTATGTCTGAATTCAGTATGCGAGAAGTACCCCGATGACTTGCTACTTCTGGCGAGATTCTAAAGTGAGTATCCGATGCATGCTATGATATCCCATGAAGCACCGCGAGTGAAGCTACACAATGGACGCGAGTAGGTCATGTGCTCATGACGAAATTGTGGATGTAGTACATCCGAGTTCTATTCATACTACTGACATTCATACTGTATAGAACATACTTTTCTAATGGCTGAGTAGTACGTTGCAAATGCAGTACCTACTGAGTAGTAGACGATTTCGGACCCAGCCTAATGCTGCGTTTACACCAGAAACGGAAAGTGCGAATAAATCGCGCTATTTGCTATTCGTTTGACGCCGTGTCTGAGTGCACTAGTTCCTTTACGTGGTGCACCCAGCTCTGTGAGTGCTTTAACTCCTCCAGAAACTATACCTGGATGATGAAGGCTTTCAGCGGTGCCTTAGACTGAGCCAAGTCCAGTGTGATAAACTGCTGTCTCATGTCGGCAAGAGGATTTCCACAGGGACAACAAACAACAGGCACTATGTCATAATCACGCCCCTACAAAAGCAATCTCATGATTGGTTAACGTAGCGCAAATGTCCGCTGAAGTTCAGATTTGCCAACTTGAACGATTCGCACCAATGCGTCAAATGCGCAAAAGGCTCAACTTGCGTGAATTACATCATTCGTGCCACCTCATTCGTGCTGCAGGACGTCTATTCCTGTCTTTGCATTGACCTAACATGTAAATCACTCATCTTCGACGCTTCATCTGCATCTGGTGTGAAAGCAGCATAGCACTTATGGTGGGAGTCAAGACAAAAGAAGGAAACGACAACAACCAGAGTCAGAATATTTGCTGACTGATTTTTACTCATTGAAAATGAGATGGTACATCTCAAGGCGTTTATCCCAATGAATGAATATCAAAAACTCATTTCGTATTCTTTTAAAAACGAAATGTTTGTGCCTAGACAGTTTTTTGTGTTTTGGATGACCAACTGGGTCTGCTGAAATTTTGAAGTCCATCCAATGGACACTTTACTAACCCATAGGATAGTATGGGAAAACTATCCCATAGGACAGGGGTCACCAATCCTGGTCCTGGAGGGCTGGTGTCCCTGCAGGGTTTAGCTCCAACCTTGCCTCAACACACCTGCCTGGATGTTTCAAGTATACCAAGTAAGACCTTGATTAGCTTGTTCAGGTGTGTTTAATTGGGGTTGGAGCTAAAATCTGTAGGACACCGGCCCTCCAGGAACAAGTTTGGTGACCACTGCCATAGAATATGGTCGGTTAGTATATTCCTAAGTATCTACTACACGAGTAGCCTTTTTATACATAGGATGGGTGATTAATCAATTTGACCAAGATGCCTAACCTCCCAGTGTGGTAAGCTGAATTGCTACACTAAATATATAAACTGTTTTACTGTGTTACTTATTACTAGCAAACTGTTAAGCTGCAGTCCCACATTAATTTGTGCATGCGAAAGTCTGTCGTATAGCTCTTCGTAAGTAGGTGAGACAACGATCAAGAGAACATATTATGCAATGTTGAGTCTGGATTATCATTTTGCAAGTGTTTTTGAGGACTGTGCCCGTGTGAGGCTTTTAAAAGCATTTAGGCCTAAGAAAATGTGCCGTTTGTAAATTTTTGGTACCCGTTAGTAAATTTGATAGAATTGTTTATAAAATGAAGTCTATGCCGCATTATTTTACATTTGATTGTTCAATCACTGTATACCTGAATACATTTCGACTCAATGAAACGTACATTAGCACATTTTTCAGGTTTTAAAGTTTATTATACAAATATTGTGCTCAATAATATAAATATACTTATATATTTATTATAGAATTATTATAATTATATATTTATATATTTTTATTATATAATTATATTTTATTGTGCTCAAGTGCTATACAAATAAACTTGAATTATATTTTATGCACTCTCCTACAGAGTCGTCTTAACCAATCAAAAATTACTGGTCCTTTACAAATATTTATTCAACTCATCTAGTGAAATTGTAATTTTGTTGCAATATATAATCGCAAAAAAAAATTACAATGTGTAATTTTTCTAGTATCGTGTAACCCTATTTCATAGGTAAAAGTTCACAAAGCTTAAACTTTAGAACGCAGTGACGTGAAACTTCTCACACGAGCTTGTGTTTCCAGCCCACTGCATTTGCATGCATATGAATGGAAGTCTATATGGCTGAAAACTGCAGTTTTACCATGGCTTTATGATTCTGTTATATAAGCCTTAACATTGTTTATTGCATTATCTGAATATAATATTAATCATTATGTAAGGATAAAGGAATTCCATGTAATTAGTTGAAAGAAAACATTTATACATTTAACTAATATGACTAGTCACTTCAATAGAAAGTACTATTGCTCAGCTTCAGGTTGTTCCAATCCATTATGAAAATAAAGATGTTTTAGACCCCACTGACTTACTGTATGAATAACAGCATTCTTAAACATGCCGTAGCATGAAATTCTGGATAAACCTACGCATAGCTGAAAAATAAGAGTTCAGTACATGGAAATTGTATAACATGAGCCTCAATCCCCATAGTTTCCTTGTTCTCCCGTAAATCCTGAAAGAGTAAAACCCCACCAAAAACAGGCTGATCCACATGGGATTATTAATATGCACCTCTCAGGCAGCACTTGATTGGCAACAACGCTTCATAGTAAGATAACAACAACATTTTCCCCCTATTTCTAAGTTTATTCAAGCTTACAAGCTTTCAACACACCGGGCACTGTCCCTCAACTTCAGTGGTCACTGGATGTGTTTTATTCAAAGTGGATGGTTTAGCAAGCATTGTTGGTTATTTCTATGCATCTCGTTTCGAAACATCCTGTTTTGCATGAATCTACAGGGGGGTGGGGGGTCCTACAACAAAAATGGGTGTTCAATAGTTTTAGACTATTTACATGAATGTTTTTGATCCACTTTAAATGTTGGTACTGTAGATTTCCCATTTATCAGGTTCCATCTTTTGCTGATGAATTACATCATGATATACAGTAGTCAACATTTGAAGGGAGTCAAAAAAGTGGATCAAAATTATAGTAAGACAAGGATGAAAGAACAACTTTAATGAACGGTTTTGATCTACTTTATATGTTGACTACTGCATATCTAAACATATCACACACAGAGAGAAAGACATTTTGATTTATAACAAATAGAACAAGCCATAAACCAAGACAACCTGACATGTAGCAATCCATGTGCATTTTCCCAATCTTTGCCATCCGGCACACCACATTCTTGTGTAAACAGAGTTTGTTAACAGTGGCTTTCAAGATTTTGTCAGGGTTAACATAAAAATATAAAGCGCTGAAACACAAACCAACATATGTGTAATACAAAAACAAAAAGAACGACTTTTCTATGCCATCCTCAAAGAGAAAAAACTGCATATTCTTACATCTAAATTACTGCAATGCAAATTGTATGCAATGTAAATGCAAATGTGAAGTGAAACATGCCTGAGGGTCTCTGCTTTCTTTCTGGAAACCCAATAAAATCACTGGCATCTGTCTATGGAGAGGCTCTACATGGTGTACAGCTTTCAGAGCGCTGAGCTTTCACCACTATTTAAACCAATCAAATTATGATATGATGATTAATTATGATATCAAGGTGTAACTGCCATTATGAATAGTTGTTTAGTAGTTCGTATAGTAACATTCATTCAGCGTATTCAGGCGATTTTCAAACCTGTGCCTCAGTAGTTTCTTTTAACGTTTCTTATTCTGAATAGGAATGAAAATTTCATTTTGATATTTCAGATTTCTGGATTAATTATTACTGTACTTCTCGGTAACTCTCAACACATTGGTTTAGATACACAACTAGGCCTGTCACAATAATCAATATATCAACTTATCGTGCGATACATTGACATGACCTCAATAATTATGGGTGATGCAATGTATATCACCTATACATAAAACCAAATCTAGCAATGTTTTAGCTGATTGTGCACCATCTCTATTTATTTACAGTGAATTACTATCGTATATTTTCATGTGGGCGCCTGACAACTAAAAATAGATCTGCTAGCAGATATCGCTGCCTCGGTTATTTTTTTTTTTACGTTGCACTTTTGTGTTAACATTTCTTATTATTAAATAGGATTTTCGTTTTCACATTCTGGTTCCAATGCCTCATTATTAAATTGGTAAAATCATTATAATTAAATGAAAAATCCTCAAGAATAAAATATTATGTGCTCTTTGGAAGAGTGTACTTGCATTGTAATGCTATTGTCATTCTGGCATTATGTAATGATAAGTGGCATAAAAGGGTCTTAAAATGACAATAATATAGTTTATCGCAATATATTTTGGTTCAATATATCGTAAAACAAAGAATAGATATCGTGATAGGCCTATACACAACTTTAAAATAGTATAAGTATTTTCTAAATTGTCAAATCAAAATGTCTTTTTTTCTCCATGTAATAAAGTCATGCAAATTTGGAACGACATAATAGTGAAATTTAAATTTTTGGTGAGCTAGCCTATTAAATAACACATTGAAAATTGAAAAGACCCCTTCGTTAACCTATGAACCATTTAAAATTTTTACTTTTTATGCTAAAAAAAGAAACTACTAAGACAGGTTTCAAAATCACCTGAATACGGTGAATGAATGTTACTGTGCGAACTACTAAACAACTATTCATGATGGCGGTTAGACTATGATGTCATAATTAAATCGTCATTATATCATATTGTAATTGTTTAAATGGTGGTGGAAGCTCATCACTCCAAAAGCTGTATCCTTCGTGTAGAGCCGGTCTTTAGACAGATGCCAGTTATTTTATTGGGTTTCCATTAAGAAAACAGAGACCCTCAGGTTTCTTGTGGATTAAATATTACTGTACTTCTCTGTAACTCTCAACACATTGGTTTAAATACACAACTTTAAAAAGTGGTGACCTATTTCTAATTTGTCAAATCAAAATGTCTTTTTTTCTTCATGTAATAAAGTCATGCAAGTTTGGAACGACATAATAGTGGAGTAGCTATTATAAAGTAGCCTATTAAATAACACAATGAAATTTAAAAAAGACGCCATAATTAACCTATGAACCATTTACAATTTTTTACTTTTTATGCTAAAAAAGCCCAAGAGATCACTTTCAGTGATCACCAATATTCAACTGCCTCATTAGGTACTTAAAAAAAAGAAAATGTAAAGAATGAGTAGTTTAGTGTAATTCAGCTGTCTAGATAGACCGCCAAACAGACAGCCAGCAAGTATCTGGTGGACACTTATTCATTTAAAATGTATCATATTTGCATAAATAACCACATGTCCAACCAAGTAGCAACTGCAAACAAATGATGTTGGACCATCTCTCAGAACTAACACTGCTTATCTGAACTTTTTAAACAAATTATGCTAGTAAGCTAGTCCAAATGACGGAACAAATGAGCTTAACCTTACTTTTAATGAAGTACTTTTAACGAAAAAACGTATTGAATGTCACAACGAAAATGTAAAAAGGACATAAACATAATACATACAACTTATTATTGTTTAAATAGTTTTAACAACAACTGTATTTTTAAATGACAACTTGAAAAGGAAGGACTTACCATCTGGATTCGCCTCAGCTTTCAGCTAAAGCACCAAACATAACCGCGTCTCTTCCATTGGCTGACTTTTGACTTTATTCACGATACTATAGACTCCGGCATCTGTGAGCAACTTCTCCTGGTTAATAACGAACCTTGCCCCGAGGAAGTTGTTGTGAAGTGAACTAACCACGAGGAGTGTGTTTGAGGAACGAAGGACACTCCCGTATTTGTTTAAATTATTGTTAAAGGAGACGCGCGCGAGGAAATGTCTATTTGCCCAAAGGCATTAATGACGTGTCTGTTTAATATGCTGACTGAGACTTTTAATCACAATAAACGACGCTAATGTTTATAAAGATGTACCCTAAATTCTAGGCTTACACAAAACTTATGAAGTTGTCTTACAGATAACGTATGGGAAAGAAAAAAAGTTTGGCAAACACTTGCCAACACCCTAAACAAACAGCATTACGGTGCCACTATAGATTACAAGAAGCCATTAACACGACGACCTCCTTCAGCTAACAAAAAAAGTAAGAAAAAAAGAAAAGAAAACGGACCCTTTGGTCATCATTTCACATTTCATTTTATTTCAGATATCTTTTAAGCCGTCAAGGTGGTGCACTGGGTTGCACAAAAGCCTCACACTAATCTTTGGAATAACTTATTTTTTAATAAATTATTTTTTATTTATCGTCCTTATTTAAACGTGATTTAAATTTGTCTATAAAATATATATTTCTGTATTTCTCAAGTAATGATCATGCTCTCGATCTTATTTTTTTTTTGTTACACTGTAAATTTTTTATACCCAAAAATAAGTTCCTAAAAACAATACCTATATTTAATACTTTGTTGAAATTTCGTACAATATTGAATCTCTTAAACTTATTAATAATAATAAGAAGAAGAATAAGCTTCTTAAAGCTTATAATCATTTCTCTAAATAATTCTATATTTTTTTTTTTTGTTATTGTATTTTTCTTTAATGCAGTGATGTTATTATTTTGTATTCAATAATAAAAAAAAATAAAAATAAAAAGCCTCACACTGGCGCACCCAGAATTTTTTTTTTTGGTTGGCCACTGGCCAGAAGAGGCCCAACCAAATCTTGGGGTGGCACACAAAAGATAATGAATTCAGTGTAATGTTAATTTTTTGTTTTTGGCATTATATGGTTTTAATGGATTATTCTTAACATATTGCCATTTATTCCTTGAAATAATTCAGCAAGTGCATGTGAAACCAAATAAAAATCAATATTTAGTTTAAAAACAAGGTCAGTTGTTTTTCCACATACATTTATTGTACAGAATACAGTACATGCTATGTCTGAACTTAATAAAGATTAATGAATTTATAAAACGAATGAACAAACTGAACAAAATGCATTTCTATACACACAATCACTAATAATACAGCATGTATCCATATTCATTTTATAACCCACAATATTATTAATACAGTTCTTTATTGATGTGTCTGTTTGCAAACTACATCAACAAAATAACTGATTTCTGGCCCTTGTCAGTCAACAAACAAAACAATGGAGGTGCTAAATAAGCTGTGTACAATCTCGTGAACCCAAAGTTGTGCAAAGTTGTGCACAAACAAAACTAATCAACTTGTTATAAGAACTTTACCCTTAATTTTATTTTTAAATGTGCAGTAGCCTAATCAGCAAAAGTGAACGTTCTGTAGAAAAGCGAAATGACCTAATTCTGACCCTGCTGAAAAATCCAGCTTAAACCAGCCTAGGATGGTTGGCTGGTTTTAGCTGGTCAACCAGCCTGGTTTTAGAGGTGTTTTAGCCACTTCCAGGCTGGTTTCCAGCCATTTCCAGCCTGGTCTTAGCTGGTCAGGCTGGAAAGTGGCCAGCTAAAACCATCTTAAACCAGCTTGACCATCCTGGTTTAAGCTGGACATAGCTGGGCTCCCTGCCTGGCAAGGCTGGTCAAGCTGGCTTTAGCTGGTCATCTCCCAACCTGTCCAGCTAAGACCAGGCTGGAAATGGCTGGAAACCACCCTGGAAGAGGCCAAAACCCCCTCTAAAACCAGGTTGGTCGACCAGCTAAAACCAGCCTAGGCTGGTTTAAGCTGGATTTTTCAGCAGAGGAGCCTTGCTAAGTAACGTTAACACGTTTAGTATTTAACTAGAAAGGTTAACAGACAGCATAGAATATTTAAGTGAAGATATGCATGTATGACAAACATATCCGTTGTTGTTTTCTAAATAATTGCCATTGCTGTCAGTTGAAGGTGTGTATGTGCTGTCAACAACGATCTGGGAGAGGAGGAGGTATCAGCTACTTCAGTGGCGCCAATAAATCCACAATAATTTAGTGGCTGCAGTTTATTTATTTAGATTAAAATAATGTGAATGTCCGCAAGTACATTTAAATAAATAAGATCAACAGCAAAGTCATATTTGGGGTGGCCACCCTAACTTTAACCCCTGGCCACCCCCTGTAGGTGCCCCTGTGGTATGAGCCCTGGTTGGGTCAGTTGGCATTTCAGTGTGAAGTTTGCATGTTCTTCGCGTGGGTTTCCCCCATATGTGTATGGATGTTTCCCAGTGATGGGTTGCAGTTGGAAGGGCATCCGCTGCGTAAAACATATGCTGGATAAGTTGGCGGTTCATACTACTGTGGCGACCCCAGATTAATAAAGGGACTAATCCGAAAAGAAAATGAATTAATGAACCTTTTGTCTACCGCTCACAATGTTGTTCTGACAAACTTTTTGTAACATCAATAATTGATGTTATTCTGGATAGGAGTGTATTAATTATTGATACTGAAACTAACAGTCATTTATTGTGCTCATGAAAAGGATTGTGCTCATGATACTAAAAGCGTCAAGCCCAAAGAAGACATTTCGTTTGAAACTTACACCATTTAAGATACATAACAGATCACCGTTGGTTATAATACATTCATTCATTTTCTTTTCAGCATAGTCCCTTTATTCATCAGGGGTCGCCACAGGGGAATGAACTGCCAACTTATCCAGCATGTTTTGCGCAGCGGATGCCCTTCCAGCTGCAACCCATCAATGGGAAACATCCATACACACTCATTCACCCACTATGTACAATTTAGCTTACCTAATTCACTACATGGAGAGAATATGCAAACTCTACACAGAAATGCCGACTTATCCAGCCAAGGCTCGATCTATTTTCCTACTGTGTGGCGACAGCACTACCCACTGCACCATCGGTTATAATTATGAGAATTATTGGTGATTTAAGATCAACTTTGAGGTACATGAACTTATTATTGAGCAATGGTGGTTTGCTTATTCAAAAACATCACTTAGATTTAGCATTTCAATAATTTCCCTGCGCCACGTTACGTTAATTGCATAAAGTCAATATAGAGTTCTGTCTGTATTTAGGCCCGTTCACACAAAGCACAATAACTATAAATATAACAATAAATATTTTTGTGTCCACAACACTTTTAATTCATTTTCTTTTCGGCTTAGTGCCCTTATTATTTTGGGGTCGCCACAGCGGAATGAACCGCCAACTTATCCAGCATATGTTTTACACAGCGCATGCCCTTCCAGCCGCAACCCATCTCTGGGAAACATCCACACACACTCATTCACACAGACAGACTCATACACTATGGACAATTTAGCCTACCCAATTCACCTGCACCGCATGTCTTTGGACTGTGGGGGAAACCGGAGCACCTGGAGGAAAAACACGCTAACGCAGAGAGAACATGCAAACTCCACACAGAAACGCCACCTGAGCAGAGGTTGGAACCTGCGATCCAGCGACTTTCTTGCTGTGAGGCGACAGCACTACCTACTGCGCCACTGCCTCGCCATCATAAAAACATGTATATAGTATTAAAAAAATGGATCTTGATAGGATTAACAAACATTTCAGTTTCAAAAAATGTGAATATTCTGACTGTTTATTCATGTGTCAGTTTTGAAGAATCGCTATAATAAAGTATAAAAAAATCATATAGGGGACTTGTTAATCCAAATAATATTTTCTATTTTATCTGAAATATATTGAGGTCTGTACTTACATAAACATACATTTTGTGTGATCCCTCTTATTTTGGCAAAATAATGAGTTAATGAATTATAAATAAGGTCCCACTTTTTATTAAGTGGCCTTAACTAATATGTACTTACACAGGAATTAATAGTTTGTTACAATGTACTTATTGTGTAAATACATGTATTTATTGTGTACTTATGCTTGATTAAATACATGTATGTATTTACATCTGTAATTAACTTCTGTAATTACATTTGTAAATACACTGCAGACCATTCCCTACACCTTAACCCACCCTTAAACCTACCCATACCACCAAACCTGTCCATAACCCAACCCTTATCCTAACTCAAGAGCACCACAAGTGTTCTCAAATACATTATAAACACAATAAGTACATTGTATTTATTTTTTGATGTAAGTACATAGTAGTTAAGGACACTTATTATAAAGTGGGACCATAAATAATAATAAATAAAGAACATTTTTCAGATTATTTTTATAACGTTTGACCTCGACTGTGCTGCATGTATGATTTGACACTTTTGATTTTGATCAATTAAAAAAAAATTTAAACCGTTACATCTACATGAACACTTTACACTTGGCCGAGTAACTGAATGTTATTGTGTTAAATGATTTTGAATTAAATGTGTACCAACGTGTTTAACTCATGTTATATATTTTCATTTATTAAAATACAATAGTATACTCGTATAAAATGCAAAATAAACATTTTTCACAAAACAGATGTATTTATTTTTTATTATTTGAAACTTGTTTATAATTTCAAAAATAGTTTTGGCACAATGGCGCCCCCCATGTGTGACTGTATACCCCCTTTATGCTAAACTGACAAAACGTAAAATACATTACCTGGAGAAAAAAAAAAAGAGGAGGAGTAGGGGTGGAAGGAGGGATTCTTCAAGACGAAGATAAACTAGGGTAAGAAACTCTAGTTATTTATAATGTGTTAGGATTTATCTGATTGGTAATCATGTTAGCTAATGCGGGACCAGCCGTGGTCAATCATAATTACGTGATCCTCTTGAAATTGTTGCCTCACAGCAAGAAGGTCCCAGCTAGGCCAATTGGCATTTCCATGTGAAGTTTGCATGTTCTCCCTGTGTCGGCATGGGTTTCCTCCGTGTGCTTTGGTAGTGCAAAGACATGCGCTATTATAGGTGAACTGAACTAAACTAAAT